TGTGTGTACGTGTTTTCATTCAAAAAATCCTCTGTAGACACAGACTTTATAGCAGTTTACAATATTTTATTTCAAAGCGTAAAACTTTACATGGAGAGCCAATGGTTTTTAAAGACAGTTTTTCACTTCTTAGGTGATGTTGCTGGTGTTTCTTGGTCTGAGTCAGATACTTTCAGGCGTTCCAGATGATCACAATTCACGATGATGCCCATAACAGAAGATGGTATGGTCAGCTCGGCCATGGCTTTCATAAAGATGTCCCAGCTTTTAGGCGGGCGTTTAGTAGTCCCAATATGAGTCTAAAGGGTTCTCTGGACCAAGTCAAGCATGCTAGACCCCTTGACAAGCATCCCTTTGTAGACGAAACCCTCTTGATCATCCCAAGAAGAAATATCTTTGTGCTGGCTCAGCTTAGTGAGCAGTACTTTAGCATTTTTCCTGTATCAGGCATGCACATTATCCAATACTTCCTGAACAACTGTGTCCAGTTTTGTGGGGGTTTCTAGGGGGTATCTGGCTTCTAGGGGGGTCTGTTCCAGCAGAAATAGGGTTAATTTCCCTCTGTCTCGATCACCCTGCTTTACGTAGGTCAGGTATTTCTGAAGCACGGATGCATACAGTTTAGCCTCACCATATTCTGCTAAACCCGGTCTTTGGAGAATATCCCTCATTTCAACATCCAATAAGCGGGTTGCCTCGGTTCTGATATTTTCCTGAGACGGTGGGGGAGCCCTTAATTGTTCCAGCTCGTGTTTGGGCATCAGGTACGATTTTTCTGCATGCTCCATCACTGGCTAGCTAAAAGGCCCGTTATCAGAGGAAAAGCAAAACTTAGCAGAGGTCCAGTAAATCCCCCAGACTGTTTCACCTGCTGTTTCTTTTTTTTAAGAGGTAATCTTTTGTTACTTAGGTTTTTTATGATCCTGCGTCTCTTTTTCAGTACGTGAATTTGATGCGGTGTCAAAGGGATGTTTGCTTTTAAGGTGTTCAGAGCAATTTCTGAAATGGCCGCTACTAAATCATCAGAGGCCGAGCTGAGTATAGCTTTTCTCTGCTGTGGGGTAGGTTGAAGAAGCAGTTTTAAGAGAGCCAAATTTCTTTTTACATGGCTAGACATGTTCCCCGTCCACTGTCTTGAGAGCTAAGAAGAGGCTGCTGCTACATCATCTCTTTTTATTCCTACCTGCTGTTTTTTTAAACGTGTAAGCAGCCGGTTAGTAGGGAGGAAAAAGCCCTGTTCTTAATCTAAAAGCATCTCGGGTAGAAGCATTGAAATCAACCAACAGATATCCGTAAGGTGTTTTAGTGGCATCCTCAAAAGCTTCTAGAAAGAACTGGGCCTTACCTGGGTACATCTGCCGCGCCAGGGACACTATCTGTAGCTTATCCCTGGGGTTTTTAAACAAAACCATGTATTTTGTGTTAAGATCAATGGTGCGGCTCCTTTTCCCTTGACAGAAAACATTTTGAACTATATACATGATGCTAAGATTCCAGTGGTGCACATACTTGGTAAAGGCTTTCTCGATTTCGCCGTTGTCACAGGCAGAGTCCATCAAATCATCTACTACAACCATATTTATTTTATTAGGAGAAAACAAACAGTCATCGTTGAGACTGTCTGGTAGACCTTCCACAAACTTGATAAAAGGATATTTACAAAGCAGTTCTTTATACAAAGGCTGCCAACAGTTATAGCACCACACCATAATCTCAGGCATAACAGACAACATTTTATCAGCGTGATCCAAAAGGTTTTTTATAAAGTAACTTTTACCACAGTTGCTAGGGCCTGCCAAAATCACAGAAAAGGGGTGCTTCCAACCCATATCCATCTTTAAAAATCATAGGGGAGACTGTTAAGGCTTTCTGCGTGGACCCTTTTGTCATAAATGACTTCCTGCATTTTTCTCAAGGTTTTGGTTTCTATTGTCCACTTGCTCTTGTTCCTGATGATAGAACGCCGTTGTATCACAATTGTTTTAGGGGTGTCCAAACCAGGGCTTGCCCCATAATCTAGAACAAGATCTCTTAAGGTTTCAACGTTGACTTTTTCAGTGTTGGCCCTTCAGATTAATCGCTTTGACCTTCAAGCAAACCTTTCCCCCGGACAACTTGTACCCGTAGGTATTCAGACCAGCTGACACAAACTCTGTGATGTGTTCATAGGGTGGGATTTCGCTGGTGAGCTCACCTAAGATTTACACTCATAACACAGAGTTTTAGTCAAACATTCAATCCGTTTTTCAGAGGCCAGGGCCATGTGCCTTTCTAAACACTCTTCGGAATGAGAGAACAGCTTACAATTAGGGCACCTCTGTGTCCTGCCCACGTTTTCAGAGCAGTTTGGGCTTAGGAAAAGACGACATCGGAACCTGCACGTGTGGCTATGGCTGTACAATATCTGACAAAGATCGCAATAATTTCTCATGCCAAGTACCTTTTTCACATCCAAAATACCATAATAATGTTCACCATGTGTGAACGAGCACCCTCGTCTGCCCCTTCTGCTGATTCGGAAGGGTGCCCCAGCAATACCGAGCGTTCACTTTATGGAACATACACTCCTGGCCGGCCCAATCCATCCCTCTGTGCTTGAGGTCACCACCCCCGAGTTCCGCTCCCCGCCGGGGTCTTACCCGTGCCCCAGAACGTGCGGGTGTGGTGCTGGGCAGCCCGCATCCACCTCCCCGTGCTCTCACTGGTGTCCGCCCTTTGAACCTGCACTTCCGGTTCTGCCCCTCTGCTCTCTCGCTCTGACGACGCTTTTAACTCGGCCTCTCTCGCCGCACACCTGCAACAGGTAAGTGGTTGCCCCGCCTTCAGGGGCAGAGATGGGTGCGGTCCTGTGGGTGGCCCGACCCAGTAAGCCTCGGAGCCTCCTGGTTCACTCGCACCCACACATTTCCCTCCCCTCAAGATGCTTCTAAGCGTTCTTCCTATTCCCTTCTTTCCTCTTCCCCTACGCTTTCCCTCTTCCTGTCCTTCCTCTTCACATCTTGACAAGAAGTCCGCCACCGTATTCAGTTTTCCTGGCTTGTATGCCACCTGGAAGTGGAAGGGCTGGAGGGCTAGTGCCCAGTGCATTATCCGTGCATTGTCAGTTTTAGTCGGTAGTGTGCTGCCACTTCAAGGGGGCGTGATCCGTGATCAATTTAAATTCACGCCCGAGGAGGTAGTACCGAAAATAGCCAACCCCCCATCGAATAGCCAGGCATTCTCTCTCTATAGTAGAGTACCTCTTTTCCTGGTTGTTTAGTTTTCGGCTAGCATACGCAATCAGCCGCTCCACCCCGTCTATCTCTTGCGACAACACAGCCGTAAGGACGTATACCGAGGCATCCGTCTGTAACGTAAACGGGATGGCAAAATTGGGGGTATGCAGCATTACCTCCTGGCATAATGCCCTTTTAAGTTCTTCAAATGCTCCCAGCCATTCTTGGTTCCACTCGATCTTCCCCTTCCGTTGACCCTTCGTGGCCTCCACCAATGATCTCGATATCTCTGCAAACTTAGGGATAAAACGTCTATAGTAGCTGGTCAGGCCTAGGAACGCTCGCATTTGCCTTTTTTTTGCTGGGGTGCTGTAGTCTTTAATAACTGCTACTTTGTCCGCTAGTGGCCGTACTCGGCCCTGCCCCACCAAGAACCCTAGATATTTAGTTTTTTGCTGGCCTAGGGCGCGTTTCTTAGGGTTGGCTGTTAACCCGATTTTCCTTAGCTCTAACAGGACGGCCCTGAGAGCCTGCAGGTGCCATTCCCACGTCTCTGTATAGGTAACAATATCATCGATGTACGCCGCTGTGTACCCTTGGTGAGGCGCCAGGACCCAGTCCATTAATCTTTGAAAGGTGGCTGCCGCCCCATTCAGCCCAAAAGGCATCCTCTTGAAATCAAACAGACCCCAGGGAGTACCAAATGCGGTCTTCCGTTGGTCTTCCTTGCATAGTGGGATCTGCCAGGAGCCTTTGGACAGGTCGAGGGTTGAGATGAACCTCGCCTGTCCTCTACGCTCCACCAATTCACTAACGCGCGGGATCGGGAACGCGTCGAGTTGGATCAATGCGTTTAGTTTTCTAAAGTCCACGCAGAGCCTCAGGCTTCTGTCGGATTTCTCCACGGGCACCAGGGGGCTGCGCCACGGACTCCGGGATGGTGTTATGATTCCCTGTTTCAGCATGTGCTCCAGCTCCTTCTTAACCGGTTGGCATTTATGATAGGGAATACACCGCCACTTTTCACGGGCTATCTGGCCTTCCGTAGTGATAATTTTATGTTCTACCCCCGAGGCCCTTCCTGGTTGATCCGAAAAAACATCCTGAAACTCCCTCACTAGTCCCCTTAGTTGCCGGCATTGCGGTGCCTCTAACTGTTTCCCCAGCGGTGCTGTCCCTCCTTCCCGGTTGCTATCCGGGTTGCCCACAGGAAGACTCTCCCACCCTTCGGTCTCTGGATCAGGGGAGATTAGGAGTCCTTCGGACTCATGCCATTCTTTCAATAAGTTGATATGATAGATCTGCCATTCACGTTCGGCCCCGGGACATATTATTTCATAGTCCATGGGCCCCACTCTCCTAGCCACTGCAAATGGCCCTTGCCACCGGGTTAGGAACTTACTATTGGAGTTTGGCAGTAACACCAGCACTTTCTGCCCTACCCTTAGTTCTCAGTCTTGTGCCGTGCTATCATAGCTCTCCTTCTGCTTAGTTTGGGCTCGTCCCAGATTAGTTTGGGCTATTCCCTGAACTGTCTGGAGGCGTTCCCTAAAGTCCCGTACATTCTCATCGGCCCTCTTCCCCGTGTTTGGTCATGCTTCCTACCCCTCCCGCATAATATCCAACAGGCTACGTGGGCGGTGCCCAAAGGTTAATTCAAATGGAGAGTAGCCCATGGACGCCTGGGGTGCATCTCTTACTGCAAATAACAGGGGGGGG